TATTTATTTTGTATTATGTACTTTCTTAAATTGTAATAAGGGAAAATTGCATCTTTGGTCCTTGAGTTATACCCAAGTTCCGACTCAGTCCCTGAGTTATTACCGTATCCACTTTTAGTCCCTCAGTTATGAACGAAGTGGCACATTTGGTCCCCGACCGTTAAAATTGACTGAAAAATTATAAAATATTTAAAATTTGAGGGGTAAAGTAGGAAATTCAAATTTTATTCCCCTTTTTATATCAAAATCACTTTCACAACAGTATTTTTCACTTCTTAGTCTCTTATTTTAAGATTGTTCAATTCTAAAAGTATTTCAATAACTTTAGTATGACTTGTTATGAACCTGACTCTCGTATAACAAACTTAAGACTTAGCAAAAATAAAGAAACACTTGATCGTTGTCTTCAGACGTGTGAAACAGGCTATCCTATCAATTTTCAATTTTTTTACTAAGCAACAAAGGTAATCAAACCAGAACTTTTGAGATACCAAATGATGTCAAATTTCTCAGTTTGCTTTTATGAAAAATTCACCAACGGAATAACTTGAGATATTTAGTATGTAAATTTTTTTTCATATGCAATAGTTTCGTCAATAATCATTTTTAGAAGTTACAAAAGTTTTTAGAATTTTCATAACTGAGTCTTAGGTTCCTTATTCATTACTCTGGTTTTTAAGAAGACAAGGGAGGTGATGGATATATATATATATATATATATATATATATATATATATATATATATATATATATATATATATATATATATATATATAATATAATTTTCATATATTGTCAAGATATACGATTCTTAATTAAGTTACTGCAAAGCTTACGAAAGAATTTTATGTACTAAAAATCTCAAGTTACTCCCTTGGTGAATTTGTCATAAAAATAACCTGAGAAATTTGATATCTTCTTGTATTTCAAAAGTTATGGTTTGATTACCATTATGTTTAGTAAGGGAAATCAGAAACTTTTAGGATGGTGTGTTTTACATGCTTGATGACAATGATCAAGTGTTCTCTTGTTTGTACTGAGTCACATGTTCCTTATACGAGACTCAAGTAACTAACAAGTCATACGAAGATTATTGAATTGCTTTTGAAATTGAAGAATCTTGAACAAGAATTCTAGGAAGTTGAAAATAATGTTGCAAAAGTGATTTCAATATAAGAAAGAAAATAAAATGTGAATTTACTACTTTACCCTTAAAATTTTAAATATTTTTTTAATTTTTCTGTTAGTTTTAACGGTCAGGGACCAAATGCGCCACTTCACTCATAACTCAGGGACTAAAAACGGATACGGTCATAACTCAGGGACTGAGTTGTCACTACCATTATAACTCAGGGACCAAACTCGCAATTTCAAATGTGTACTTTGTTTAGTTTTAGGCCCTGTTTGGTAAATGGCTATTAGCTGATTGAGTTAATTAAAGGATATAACTAGTTGATAACATTAGCTGATTGTAGAAATGTATATGGTAAATTAGTTGTTAGCTTATAGTTGTTTAGTATAATTTCTTTTTATAAAAAGTTAATTGAAAAAGTTGCTTCAAGTAGCTTTTTGAATTTTAGCATTTTGGAGTACAAAAAGCTAATTAACCAAATATTTATATTGATTTTTAAACCAAGTCAAACAACTAAGTCAAATAAGTCAAAATTGACCTATAAACTAACTATTTTACCAAACAGTGCCTTAATGTTTTAATATCTTAAATTTCTTACTTTGTTTAATTTTAATGATTTCAATTATTTTGAATTTATAAATTTTAATTAAGTTTTAGTTTTACAATTCGAATAATTACATAACACAAATTATTTTATTTCAAATTGTCAGGTAATATGATTTTTATTCGATTATATACATAATATAAATAATTTTTTTATTTAAAAGTAATTTTACATATTTTGAAATTTCATTTTTGTTATTTTTAATATTTGAATGTAATTTATATATTGACTAGTATTTTATATGCACGATGCACAAAAATATATACCCAATATTGATACTCAATGTTAAAATTTTAATTATATTAAGATATTTTTTAAATACTAGTATATATTTTTTTTTTAAAAAATTATAATTGTAGAATTCATATTATATTAAAAATATAGTTGATAATTTGAGTAATAATTATGGTGTGATTAATATTATTAAAGTAAGAATTTTATATATGATAAATTACTAAATTGTGATAACATTTAATTAAAATCTAAATTAAATTAAAATTATTTCTTTTATTATTTCAATATATAATGTCTACCTACATTATTATCATTAAAAATATAAGAAAAGATATTGTGTATGCATGTGCATGGTAATAATAATCGGAAAAGGTAACAGAAGTTATAATGATATGGATATTTTTGTCTAAAAAATTGTATAGTACAACTCTTATAGTGTAATGTATAAAACAAATTAACAGAAAAATAGACATAAATCAGAGATAATAACCTAAATTGAGATTTATTATGTTTTTATTTAGATACAAAACAATAATTATGAAGATAAAATAATATTTATTGATAAATGATACTCCGTAATAATTTTTGATGTGATGTGAAAGTGCAATCTACGTTTGAAAGTGAGTTAGAATTGCAAATAGACAAAAAATAGTAAGAGAATTACAAATTGAATAATATGAAAATATGATCCATTTTTTTAAGTGAGAGGGTATTGTAAGGATGAAATTTCACATTACTGACGTCATGTTATATAATTTGAACAAAATGTCAATTTTACAAAGTTCACTTTTTGTTTTCTTTTTCCCTTTGTATTAGCTTTTGAGAAAAGGCAAATTCTCCTGTGAGACGCATCCATGAGACGGGTCGAGTTTAGTTTTTTTTTTTTTTTTTTTTTTTTTTTTTTTTTTTAATATAAGTATTACATTTTTTACATAAGCATTACAATTTTCATCATAAATAACTCTTCAACTCTTAATAATACATTTTGATTTAAAAAAGTATTACATTTTTCGTCATAAGTATTATATTTTATCTCATAAGTAACAATTAAACAATTTATTCATAATTAGTATTGCATTAATGTTTTCTCATGAGTAACTATTTTCACCCTAAATATTACATTTTGATTTAAGAATTCATTTGGAAACCTGGAAAATGACTTTCGAGAGTCATTTTTCATATTCTTCCCCTGTTTGGGTATTCAAAGAAAATGAAGTCAAAAAAATATATATTCATTATGATAAACAGAAAAAATGGCCCAATTTGGCAAAAATATCTTCCTAAATCTTTAGTCGGAAGAGATTTTCAGAATTCTATATTGAGTAAATACCCAAAATGGTCCCTCAACTATAGCTAAATTCACAAATTGGTCCTCGACTTTCAATATAACCATTATGTCCTTAACTTTGCAATTTTAACACCATTTGGTCCTCCATATATTTGACCGTTTGTTGACCATGATCTCTGAGGATATATATGTAATTTCATTGCCGCCCGCCCTCATCCGCTGTCGTGACACAGTCTACCGCCCAGCCACAAGCCACTGCCCAGTCACCCTCATCTACTGCCATGACACACTCCACCGCCTAGCCTTCACCTACTGCCACGACACAATCCACCGCCCAATACTGCCATGAACACTCCACCGCCTAGCCTTCACCTACTGCCACGACACAATCCACCGCCCAAACACCTTCGCATAATTCATCACTGTCTGCACTACAACCCAATTTGCAATCTTCATCAGGTTCAACACCACAAAGAATCGTGTCTGAGTCTACTGGGCGGCGCCGCGATTCTCGTGTCTAACAAGAAGCGCGATTTGGGTCGGGTTAAGTACCGGCTCATGCACGTGGTCCGCACGCACAAGGGCGTCGACGATAAAGCCTACCGCTGCGTTTACGAGCAGGAAGATCCGCAATGGAAAGTCAGAATCAACCTCTCAAAAAACCTAATGGTGATCGCCGACAAAGCCCTCAAATCCAACATAACCACAATCGGCCCGCTCGTTCTCCCGCCGTCGAAGCAGCTCTCTTCCTCTTCACCCTAATCAACCGGAAAATCTTCAATCCCAAATGGAAGTCCTACATTCCCGACTTCAAACAGGTCTTCGAACACTTCTGCGTCAACGCCGGCGACCACGCCGTCATCGACGATCTCCAGAAGAACCTGCAGCTCCGTCGGAACACGTGGAGGCCTCTAGGATGACGATGCACCTGTTCGGAAACACGTCGTCTTCTTCGCTTTGGTACGAACTCAACTACATTGAATCCAAGGGAGGATGAAGAAAGGCAACAGGATTTGGCAGATTACTTTCGTCAGTGGATTCAAATGTAACAGTGTGGTTTGGAAATGCAACCCGGAACCTTAAAAAACCGACGATGAACCATGAAATTACATATATATCCTCAAAAATCACAGTCAACAAACGGTCAAATAGACGGAGGACCAAATCGTGTTAAAATTGCAAAGTTAAGCACTTAATTGGTTAAAATTGAAAGTCGATGACCAATTTGTGAATTTAGCTATAGTCGAGGGACCATTTTGGGTATTTACTCTTATATATTTAAATGTAGGAAATAAATCCAATTTTTTTCACAATAATTTCATTATTTAATTTGTATATTATGACAAATTTCTAGTGTTTTATGTATAGATTTTGCTTGGATCAGATTTTAATATATATTTTTTTTGAAGGTCAACCAATGGGTTGTATTCATAGATAAGCTGAAATAGCGTCTGGTGGGATATCATCCCAATACATAGCTGCATCATAATGAAAAGCCGAAGCTGCTAAACTATGTGCTAAATAATTCTGCGATCTAGGAATAAAATGAACATGACAATATGTAAACGTAGTAATATGGTTCCTGCATCCATCAAGAGCATAGCCAATATACGATCTTGCTAGTTAATATGGTGGCGTCAAATATTTATGTAGCGTCTGACAATCCATTAGGAGCTCAATCGATTGTACTCCACGATCACGTAACCAAGATAGGGCCTCCTTGCAGGCGTATGCCTCTGCCATTAAAGGGGAGTACAATGTGGTAATGGCGCGGCAAATGCTGAGATAAAGTGTCCGTCCTCTCCTATAAGCACCGCTCCCACAGTCGCTACGTCGGAAACACCGTGGTAGGCTGCGTCTATGTAACACTTGCTGTGTTGGCGTTGGAGACCAGGCTGGCGCGGTTGCTGCCGTATGGCAATAGGGGTTACTGCTCCTTGGGGCGCAACAGCAATAGATGGGGCAGTAGCACTTGGCGTAACGGCGTGGACTTGGCGCCATGCAGTGACAGCTACACGGACTGCAGCCAACGTCCTCCTCGGGTGAGTTACACACGCATCCCATACCGCTTCGTTCTGGGCTCTCCATAGATAATATAATATTGCAGCTGCGTAGAGAATTCCATCAGAGTCTAGAATATTCAACAATTCATCAAACCACTCATAAAAAATATTTTTCATAATGCTCGGTAATGGTAGGTTAGATTGTGCCCAAATGGTTTTTGCATAATCACACAAAACCAATGCATGCATAACATCCTCATTTTCCACACCACACACGGCACACACTGGGCTAACATCCACCCTTTTAATACGCAAGTTGATGGTAGTGGGGAGGATATCACTTATGGCTTTCCATAAAAAAGTCCTCCACTTGGGTGGTATTTTTTGCTTCCCTAAAGTGAGCCATTTATTAAACCCCATATTCATATTGTTCTCATAATTTCCCACAATATGCCTGTACCCATTCTTAACAGAATAGCAACCATTTGGGTCCCCATGCCAATACCACAAATCTTCATATTCCTGGGAGATCGGTATCTTTACAATCCTTATCACATCATTAGGCTCAAAAATATCAGTAAGCAAATGATAGTCCCATGTTCCAGCTCCCTGATCAATCAAATTGGCTACTTTAGCATCAGCCAGTTGGGGAGGCATTTCTGTTTGGATCATGGGATCCTCACCATCCTGTAACCAAGGGTGCTTCCACACAGAGGTAGAATTTCCATTCCAATCCGCCTTCTCACACCACTACAGATTAGGCTCTTTGCCGCCATAATACTCCGCCAACAATGACTGGGATTATTTCCCAGATCTGCTTCCATAAAAGAGTATCTAGGATAGTACCTGGCTTTATAAATTCTTGAGACCAACGATTCTGTATTGTTAAGCAATCTCCACGCCTGTTTACCTAATAGCGCCACATTAAAAGCTCTTAGGTCTCTAAATCCCAGTCCACCATACTTCTTAGGGAGACATAACTTGTCCCAAGCTTTCCAATGTATCTTCTGATCAGTCCTAGATCCCCACCAATACCGATTCATAAGCCGCTCAATGGCAGTACAGACAGACACTGGTAGCAAAAATACACTCATTAAAAAAGTAGGCATAGCCTGGGCCACACTTTTCAATAAGATCTCTTTTCCTGCCTGTGATAACAATTTCTTATTCCAAGATCCTATTCTCTGCCGGATCTTATCTTCAATGTAAGCAAATGCTGCTTTCTTATTCCTCCCAATAAACGATGGCAAGCCAAGATACTTCCAAAGTTAGGAGCCTGCGATACTTCCAATACCTGTGCCACATTATCCCTTTCCTCATCAGGTGTATTCCTGCTAACAAATGCTAGATTTCTGGAAATTGACAGTTTTCCCAGACAGCTTCTCATATAGTGACAGACAATTCTTTATCTCCATAGCCTCCTGGGCAATTGCCTTAAAAAACAACAAACTATCATCCGCAAAGAAAAGATGTGATACAGGGGGTGCACCTCGCGCTACCCTGCATCCATGTATAATGCCTCTATCCTGCGCTTTCTGTAATAATACTTAGAGGCCCTCCGCACAAATAATAAACAGGAAAGGAAACAGTGGATTACCTTGCCGTAGTCTTCTGGTTGGCATAATTGCACTACTACGCGTCCCATTCACCAAAAAGTTATATGAAACTGTAGTTACACACATCATTATAAGATCAATCCACTTCTCATGGAAGCCCAGCGCCATAAGCATACCTTTCAAAAAAGGCCATTCCATCCGATCATATGCTTTGGCCATATCCAATTTTAGAGCACTCCAACCTACCACTCCACATTGTTTCCTGTTCAAATAATGCCCTATCTCAGAAGCCACCAGAATATTATCCGTAATTAATCTACCGGATATGAAGGCACTTTGCGACTCAGATATAATACCATCCATCAGGGGCTTCATTCTCTGCGTCATCATCTTGGCCATAACTCTATAAATTACATTACTGAGCGCAATCGGTCTAAGATCAGAAACCAATTCAGGGGCGTCTTTTTTCGGGATTAACACCACATCAGTGTCATTGAGACCCGGGGGGATCGAGCACGTATTCAAGCACTTGACAATAAAGTTCGAGACATCTCCACCTACAATATCCCAAAAATTCTGATAAACCCCGGATTCATTCCATCCGGGCCCGGTGCTTAATCAGGAAACATCGAGAATAGGGCAGTCTTAACCTCATCCACCTCAAATGGCCGAACTAGCCACTCGTTCTGTGCCTGGGTGATTCGTGGAGCTATATTATCAAATATAAGATCTCCTTCTATAGGATTATTCGTTGCAAAGATTTGCTTGAAATAATCCAGCACCACACCTGTCATATCATCACCCTCAACCCACTCCCCACTACCATTCATAAGTCTATGTAAAGTATTCTTTCTTTTTCGATTAGAGGCATACCTGTGATAAAATTTGGTGTTTGCATCAGCATCCTTGAGCCAGTGTTGCTTGGCCCTCTGCCTCCAATATACATCCTCCTGGACCTCCAACCGTGACAAGGACACCTCCAGTCGATTATATTCAGCTAGGGAATCTGGATCAATACATCCCCGCAACCGCTCCTGCCCTTTTCAAAGTAGCTGTATTTTCTCCCCAAACTTATGATATCGGTCTCCACCCCACCGGGACAGGCGATTCCCACAATGCTTAATGCAATTCTGTGTGCCACCACCCCTTCCTTCCTCCCATGATTCCGCTACTACCGCCCTGCACCCCTCGTCATAAAGCCATGCCATTTCAAAACGAAATCTCCTCCTTCCTCCTTTCCCGGCCCCGTAATGTCGGATGGCCATAAAGATTGCTGAGTGATCCGATTTCCTTATTAACAAATTGGTCATCGAGGCTCCATTAACAATATCCCCCCACCGATCCGTAGCCAGTACCTTATCCAGCTTCTCCTCAATCCAGTTCGGGGTGCCTTTACCAGTTTCCCATGTAAACTGGTAGCCATTCATCGATAATTGAGACAATCCACAATGTTCAATAGTCTCCCCAAATCCGCGTAGGAGGCTATTCGGATGCGGATTCCCCCCTTTCTTCTCATATTGATATAGTAGATCATTAAAGTCGCCAATCACAATCCACGGTAACTCAGATTGCGTTGCCAACCATTTTAGTAGATCCCACGATTCTGTCCGCCTTGTTCGCTGTGGATAGCCATAATAACAAGTCATTCTCCAATTTGGAAAGCCACTAATACTCACCTCCACATCAATATGAGTCCTTGAATAACCCAAAAGCCTCGCCGTATTGTTCTTCTTCCACAACAATGCTAGACCACCACTCAATCGCACATTATCAACATAGAACAGACCTTCATAACCAAGCTTGACGCGAAGACGCTCAGCATGTATTCGCGCCACCTTAGTCTCCATAAGAAAAATAAAATCTGGCTTCCTTCTGGACACCATGTCCTTAATCTCGCGAACTGTCCGTGGATTGCCCAAGCCACGACAGTTCTAGCTTAAGGTACTCATTGTTGTGGGCGGGCCTGGGAACCAGCACCCGCCATCTGCAAGTTTTTTGACCCGTCAACCATGTTAACATCCATACCGGAATCTACCACCCCCGTTTCACCACTCCGCTCATCCTGGCGCCGGCGTTTAGCCAAAGCCGTGACCCCCCCTCCTCATCAACATCTTGGCGTTCGGATTTTAATATGTTAGAACTAAAATTTGAAGTAATATACAGTAGCTTTCTTGATTTTATCCAACTAATTTCATTATTTCATTCGTTTAATAAGAAAAAGTTGTGTTTTCTTGGAGGCCCGGGGCCGGAGCCCGGAGGTAGGGCGATTGGGGCTTATCCACTAATGCAATTGTTGTTCAAGTGATCCCATAGGTCCCCTTATGACCTTATGGGGGGTGGACGATTCACCAATCGTTATGCTATGCATCCGTATGCACCAAGCATGGTGCATACGGATGCAAAAACGACGTCGTTTTGATGTCTAACTTAAAAAAAAAAAATCAGAATTGCATAACTACACATCCATAATTTCATCACATCCATAATTTCATAATTATACATCCAGAATTACATAACTACACATCCATAATTTCATAACTATAAATCCAGAATTGCATAACTACACATCCATAACTTCATAACTATACATCCAGAATTGCATAACTACACATCCATAATTTCATAACTATAAATCCAGAATTGCATAACTACACATCCATAACGTCATAACTACACATCCAGAATTGCATAACTATACATCCAGAATTTCATAACTAAAAATCCTGAATGAATGAACTAAAAAAATGAATAACATAATGTTGTTGCTGGGAATCAAAACTGATTTTTTTTTTTAAGTAGGACGCGCATTTTACATCAAAACGACGTCGTTTTTGCATCCGTATGATTTGCCGACGATTCACATCCCCGTTGAAGTCGTTTCTGCATGGGTAATATGTGTGTTGCAGGAATCGCGACAGTTGGACCTTGCCATTGAAAATAGGGAGCGCGTTCGAGCTTAAATGTCGAGCTCTCAATGAAATTAAAGCACCAATGATGGAATAAAGTAGTTGGGTGGCCCAAATTATTTAAACCAATAAAGAGAGGATAAATAATAAACACAAGAAGATAAGTAGAAAAGACAAGGGTTTTGTATTAATCAATTGTTAATGAGATTACAAGAGATTGTGTTGTTAAGACAAGATGATGATGAAGATGCGCAAAATGATAACAAAGGATGCCTATTTAAAGTAGTAAGTCTAACCAACTCTTCGAAAATAGTGTGATCTATGATAATAGGTCTTCGCCCAACCAAGGAGGCCAACCCCGGAGGCCAACCACATAGATTGACCTTGTCGATTGAGCATCTTTGTGGCCTCCTTCTCCAATGTCGTAGCCGTCCACAGTGGGTGAGCCCGTCGGCCTTGTCCACCTTTGGCCAACCTCGCCCAAGTTGGCTCCCTATCTTCCTTTTGGTCAGTTTGTTCCGGCCCGGGTCTATTCTTAATATATCCATCACCCTTGTTCCTTTGTAAGGGAAATTAGAAATCCTTGTTGCTTAGTAAGAAAAATAAAAAACTTTTAGGACAATGTTTTTCACACGCCTGAAAACTGTTATCAAATGTTCTATTGTTTTTTGAGTCTCGATTCCTAATACGAGACCCAAGTTGCTAATAGGGTATACACTCTTGTTTCTTGTTTTTTTTTTTTTTTTTTTTTTTTTTTTTTTTTTTTTTTTTTTTTTTTATGGTTTCCTTTTCTATTTATTTGTGCATTTCTTTAAATAGGTGTTTTTGACTTTTTTTTGGTGTGTATTGGGCAGCTCCTTTTGTTGGTTATTTGGTTATTTCTAGTAGTTATTGTGTTTTTGCCCATATGGATGTGATGGAAAGTAAAAGTTTGGCTTTTTCTTGCGTTTTGGTAATGACTGTATCTGTTTGTGTTTTTGCTTGAATGGGTATTTAGGCATGTGACAGTAGATGAGACCTTTGGGACTATGAAGATTTCTAGGAGAAGGAAAAGTAGATGGTTTTGAAAGGGGAATGCATGATGCCGGATCAGAAAGAGGTTTGTTTGGCTTTATTCTTTTTGTAGGCTTAGATGAACTATCGTATCATTTATTTGCTTAAGATGTTTGTTCATTTGCGGCTTTGAAATGTGCCA